CATTTTTGAAGTTTTAGTACCTTCTATGTAGTTATTTGATTATAAAATTGGACTGTATATTAACAAAGCAAGTATGTAAGTCTGAAGCCATGTTTGTGAATTTAAAAATAATCTGATTAAAGCATTTTATGTTTACCCGAAACAAGGTTTAGATTTTGTTAAAACACGCTCGCTTTCAAAATTCTTCATTGTTATTTGATATTTTTAGATATTTTCTTGAAATATACTGAAAAAATTGAAAAATTACACAAAATGTAGTTTTAGAAATAACAATTATATCTCAAATTAGATTGGTATATGTTTTGTAATTTACACTGAAATTTGGACCTCGTTCACGTTTACTTTAATTTTGCCAATAGTTTATATTCTATTTAAGATAATATATTTTATATACCAAGTATATTTAATCTACCTATAGTTTTTTTTTATATTTCAATATTTGTTATACGATCTATAGTTGTTATTATATTTACATTAAGTATAAGTGATGTTAGTATTTAATGATTTGTGGTCTTGGAGGAAGAATCCATCCATTGATGGAACTTCACGGTGGTTGAGAATGACCCCGATTTAATCTATATAAATATTAACTGTGTAAGAATAGTTTGATTATAAATTCATAAACGTTAATGCGGTGAATTGTTTGGTGTGTGTTCCAGTCTTAAACTATTTAATTGATAAATTATAGAAAAACAATTGTGATGTACTGATGTATCAGTGGCGTCCGCAGGGGGGGAGCTTATGGCCTGTAGCCCCCCTCCATTGCCCGTATTATTATTACTTTTTCAAAAAAATATTAATCAAGTTTAAACTGCCAACTATAGTAAGCAAGACGTAAATTTCATATATGTCTTACCGGTAATCGGTAAAAAACGACACGGTAAAAACCGACAAGGGTAAAAAACAACAAAGTTATAAGTTATAATAAGTAATACAGTATAATATAGTATTATTATTATATACTAGGTAACAACTAGGTAACAACAGGCCGAGCGTCATATCGAACCCATACCAAATAACTGTCGTAGATAAGATATATATAATATATATACACAAAAATATACGTAAAATCCTATTGAGTATTGGGTATAATATAGGTTTCAAATTTATTACTTTGAATAACGGTGGTAGGATTATCGATATAAACTGAAACATCCATACATTTTGGGTCAGTTGCATTTCGACGTAAATACATTTTTTAAGGTCTATAGAATATAGGTACTAAACGATTTTTGTGATTTTTAAAACTATTAATAATTTTTTTATTATATAACAGCTATACTATTATATACTATTCAATATTTGTGGTTTTTTAAAACTATAATTTATAATTTTTATATTTCACCAAATTGTTTATAGTAATACTGTGCCATTATTTTATCAATAAACTTAAAAACCAATAACCATGATTGTGATTTTTAGATAAAAATACATTTTAGACGTTTTTTACCCGTGTCGGTTTTTACCATGACGTTTTTTTACCTGACGTTTTTTTCCGGATTCGTTTTACCAGAATGAATTCATTTTTGAAAAAACATTGTATTTGCATACCAATTTTCATAAATTATCTGTAATTTTTCGGTAAAAGTATGAACTACTTGTATGAAAGACCTTGTATTAAATTGTCTAGCCTTAGCTATACACATTTTATATTTTATAAGATTTGAACTAGAAATTAACTGTGGTTTTGACGAAATTTGAATTTTAAATGCTTTAAAAAATAACCATGATGCCTGTGTATCGTTAATAATTTAGCTATAAAAAAAAAATTACTTATTACATTTTTAAGCTTTTTGACCGGATAAATAATTTTTTATGGACATTTATAGAAAAAAAAAATTTAATTAATCAAATACAATCCAAGTGAGGACGGTACAACCAAGCTTGTTACCAAACAATTTAAATAAATTTTCATTTTTTTTTCTCCAATTATTTTTAAAAGCACAGCATTTTCAATTTCGACCTTCTAAAAGTACCAACTAGATCCAATTTGCTTCCAAAAACATACACTGGGCATCGAAGCTTATGATCAGAGCATTTTTTCTACCAGAAAAGTTGAAAAGTTACAAACATTTTAAAATACCCCAAATAAACGTTTGCAATTATTAGACTGGACAAAATAAAAATAAAATTGTAACTAATTTTCAAGCCCCCCCCATTGAAAAATCCTGCGGACGCCACTGTGGTGTATCATATATGTACCTATTAATTATTATTAGATCATATTTTCAAAAATTAGAAAAATATTACAGTGATGTACCTTTTTTTTAAAATATATATTTGCAATTTATTATACGACAGTCGAAAAGGTATAATAAGTAAGTGTGGTGACATAAAATAACAATAATTAGTAGGAAGACTCCCAGAGTAGGAAGGCTCTCAGCATTGCCACCTGACAAGAAATAACAGTGATATACTTATGCTTATCTTAGAAAAAAATATTACCACTTTTACTATTGTTGAATACAGATGTATTGCCAAATAGACATTTCTCCCCCGACTGTTTTCGGTCTAGTAGGTCATTTTCTCCCCCGATATATTTTTGATGCCGACATTTCCCCCCCGGGATAGTCGAATTGCACTTGGGTTCAAAAAAAGTAATGGTCAAACTGCACTCGTTCAAAAAAAAGAGTGTACATTTAAGGTCACTATGGACTTCCACGTTTATTATTATAATAATATTTGAAGTTTTAAAAAAAAAGAATAAATAAATGATATACCTAGGTATATATATATATATTAATAGGTAGGTAGGTAGTTACAAACTTAAAATCATTGTCAGTCCTAAGCCAGCTGTAAGTGGAAAGTTAAATGAGTGTTTTATAAACGTTTAACCCCTTAAAATGCATGATATTTTTGTTAGAATACCTTTTTTGAGACCTTTTATAATATTTATGACTTAGATAGAATGGATTGAAAGTAGGGCTGGCGTTATTTTCGATATACCGATAATTATCGGTATTTTCGGTAATTGCCGGGGTACGGTATTTTCGGTAATTACCGCACCTCGGTACTACCGAAAATACCATAGATACCGGTAGTAAACAAATACCGAATACTGGTATCAAAATTTTAAATACCACCAGCCTTATAGATAAGTATAATATTTTATAATATATTTATATATTTATTTATTTATTTTATATTATATTTATTTAAGTTAGTTGTGCGTTAGGTATTCGAAGGCGGCATAACGGCGTTTTCTATGTTTTAAATAGGGATTTGCATGAATTTCCGAATATCTGAATTACCCGAATATCCGGATATCTAAATCAGGATTTAAATCAAAATCTTATCCGGATTTGGTAAAATAAATGATATTTTTATCGTAATAAAAATATGTTATAGAATTAAATGTATTAGAATATAAAAATGAGTCAATGAAAACATATTTAGGACTTAAAATATTCTGATTATTTGGATAATCAGTGAATTCCGGATATACCGACCACTAGTTTTAATTGAATTAGTGCAGGGTATTTTTATGAATAAAAATAATACAAAATACAAACTGATTGTCCCGTTATAAGTTTATTGGGATTTTAACTTTTTAAGTAAGTATTCAACGTTTACGTTCATGTAATGAATTGGGTCAAATTAGTCATATAACTAATTGTTATATCGACGCGTGACGTCAGGAAACCCGAATGAATAATTATTCAGTATATATTATGTTTTGAATACTTGCATTGTAGTCTACTAGTCTACCTCTACATCACCAAAGTCGTGCGCACAAGGCGTCACGGGTCGTATAGGTACGCGGAGCAGTGTGCAGAATAAAATATTATACCTATATACTAGCTAGGGATCTAATTCTATATAGCACTTGAGTCTCAAACACTTACCTACTTACACTTAATTGTTGACCCTAAAACTCTGAAAAAAGCATTCAAGGAAAGCTCAGAAATCAAAATTTACCAGCATAAATATTTATGGTAATATTTGTGGTATGTGTGCAGCACTGTGCAAATGTGAACTTTTAATATTCCATCTAGAGATTACACAGACGACGGGCGTGTAAAACAAGCTATTAATTCAAAACTTATTTTTTATTCGTTTCTATGGTAATATTAGTTATTATATCATGGAATTTGAATTAATATTATAATATTATTATTTTTTATTCGTTTTTATGGTAATAAACAAAGCTTTAGAAATTAAAATCCAAATTTTAGCGGTTTTTCGTAATTTTTCAGTGGTTTTTACCGTGGCATTAAATAACTATTGATAAAATCGAAAAATGACGTCTCTAACGTACCATCTTTATCCAATTTGTTAAAAGATAAGGTACTATATGTTGAAATCGAAGAACTCTTTCTGGTAAATTTTTGTATACAGGATATAAAAAAAATAAAAATAAACACCATTGTAAAACCACTAGCTTCCTCGCTCCGCTCAGAACCTAATATAATTTAGAATTGTATATTATCTAATAATGTATTTAGTTGAATCAATAAATGGAAAAATTAAACACATTTATAGTAAATTTTTAGGTCCTAAGATTGAAGTCCTATACCTAAGTTTATGTGCATTCATTGCCGTTGTATATGTAGTCGGGTGGACTGTGGACTGTGGGCACCTATAATCTATAGTTTATACAAATACAGTACATTAAATTCAATTAAATAAGTATTGTCTCCGTCTTACTAACGCAGTAACGCACAATATAGAAATTGCACGTTTAGAAGAATTAATTTACTCTGTTTTTTTTATATTAGAGTGCATTTCCCTATCATCAAATTTAAAGGTCGGTAATAATATTATTCAGGGCACTAGGTAAGGTTTTTTGTTAATATTTTAATTTTTGAAGCAAGTTATGAATATTTTAAAATTCCATTATTATTGCACACTTGGGGGTGCGGTGTCTCCTTAATATTATAGACCATGACCGTGGACGGAAATGTCGAAATGGATTGATGGGGGGGCTATTTTCAGGTATACGCTCTTTACAATCTATGTTTTTTTTTACAGCGATGGTTTTTTAAACATTGAAGAGTTCGATGGCATCTGCAAAGGGCTCTTCCGCAACGACCGCGGATTGTGTGTACAGTCTTGATGTCCACACCCTCAAACATATATTTAACATATTCGATACGAAAAAGGTATATAAGATGGATTAGAGATTATAGGTAAATGATTATTGAACAAATTTGTTCTCTTTGATTTCAGGACGGTTTGATCGATCGACAAGAATTTACTATGTGTTGGAACAAGTGGATTAAGACTGTAATTATGACGATGAATTATGATTTTAGATAATGACCTAATCGAATAAATATACAACTGTTGTAGAAACGTCCTATAAAAAACTTCAAATCATATATTATATTATTATATTATATATCGATGATACTACCTAACACAGTAACTAAAAAGAAATATCACTATTTAAGATTTAAAAATTTTTCTTTTAATTTCCTATATTAATCAATGACAAGTTTTCAATACAAAAGGGGGGGGATAGTAATTACTCACAGTAGTTACAACTTACAATACAGATTAGTTTGAAAAATATGAAAAATAATTGGCAACAAAATACAATTTTATTTTTGTTTTGTCCAGTCTAATGATTTCAGATGATTAGGTGAGGTATTTAAAAAATTTTAATTTCAACTTCTGTCAATTCTTTTTTTTTATTTATTTTGGTTGTAGCTAATCCGTTAAGACGTACTTATATGGACCTACACGTACACCTACTCATATATATATATAATATATTCGTACGCAGGCACGGATCCAGAGCAATGATCTGCGGGGGGGGGGAAATTTTTTTACAAAAATACAATTATAATAAAATATTATACTTTATTCTTAATTTCATAATATTAGGTAGGTATATGTAATCAATGTAATAAATAAATTATTGATTATTTAATGTATAAAACGACAATGTGAAAAGAAGTTTAGATTTTGTTTATTTGTTATTTAATATATAATATTTATATTTATAAGAAAAATATATCTGGGGGTCTGGGCCCCTAGGCCCCCCCTGGATCCATCCCTGTTCATGCGCTTACTATTTTACTACAGTTGAAACTTGATGAATAAAAAACAAAAATAACAATAATAATACATGGTAAATGGAGGGGGCTTCAGTCCTCCATCCTTCGTAGGCCACTGATATTAATAACCTCATAGGAGCCATCCTCACATAGCGAGATATGACTCTGGTTCTGGTATAGACGGCAACTTAATTTATATTGCAGATTATAAGACCCGTCAACATATTCCTCATTATCGACGTTCAAAACGATTTCATATCCGGTTCATTGAACATTAGCAATTGCTCTGCGCAACAGAACGGATTGGAGGTAAAAAATATTACATACCTTCTAGAATAATAATAACTTTCTCGTTGTACATTGTTTTTTTTAAACTATTTGATGCAATTTTTATCCAGGTTATCGAGCCCATCAACCATCTGTTGGACACTGTGAATTTCGATTCTGTATTTTATTCGTTCGACTGGCACCCAATCGATCACATATCGTTCATCGAGAACTTGTCTTTGCGCCCACTAGACTCGTCGTCCCCGGTAAGAAAAATAACAACGAATAAACCGGTTTAATAATTACACTCATGTTTGTTTAAATAGATCAAAGCCAACAACGCACAGTTATACGACACCGTGGTCTTCGAGGGATCGCCGAAGATAAAACAACGTTTGTGGCCAAAACACTGTGTCCAAGACTCGTGGGGTGCTCAGCTCTATAAAGACTTGAAGGTACGTCCGTTATATAGGTACAGTGAAACTTTCATGCAACGAAATATTTATCGAAATATGTATTTTCCAACCATGATAAAATTAGAACCAAATTTATGTAATTTATGACTTTTTATATAGAACAATTTTTAATTATTTCGCCCATATAGGTTTTGTAATACCTATGGAAGTTTTAGTGTATTTATATAATATATTAAAATTGCTATATCCGAGAAACTTACAATGTGAGTAAAACCCGTTGTGCATATTTTATATAGGTGGTGGACAACGCAGTGAAAATATATAAAGGAACGATATCGGACGTGGATTCGTATTCGGTGTTTTGGGACAACAAAAAATTGACTCAGACCACATTAGGCACACAGTTGGCTCAGTTGAACGCGACCGACATTTACGTGTGCGGGTTGGCGTACGACGTTTGCGTCGGTAATATTAACAGTATTATCTATGTGTAATAAGTTCATCTACGCAGTGGTCGGTGGCGAAACGGAAGTAAAAGCAACACCCATAATGATAATATATATATTATATGTATTGGCATAAGGCATTAATCTAATTAATAAAATATTATCATCCTAGGTAGGTATATACCTATGAGTGGGTTTACGCGTCTAGCCACTGTGTCAATAGCCTTGCAGATTTGCGGATTTAAATTAATCAATAATTTCATATAATAAACTTAAAAAATACTCTTAACCAGATCTGTAAAATATTCCAATATAAACATGCCTATGATGATCCACCACCCGGAGTGGATAACCATTAATTCGATATTTTGATACATACATAAAATCGGACTAACTTGTCATATTTATTTGTATATAATTTTGTATAGTGGTTGCATTTCGATTTTATTTTAAAATTTGTTAAATTTATGACTGCTCAGTTTTTATATTGCTCACCGCCATCACAAACACAACATGTATATTATGCATTTATGCCTAATAAGTCATTGTCATACATCCTATAATGCATTGCCCTATTTTTTAACTGATGCAATTTTGTAGTACAATCAGCTCAAATGTTAATATTGAGGTTTGTTATGTCTGGTAATGATTGTATGCTACATACAAATGTACAAGGTAGTAGGTACATCTAAATGTTGACAGATCATTTAAAATTTTGCATCAGACCAAAAACCAGAGTTGTGCTGTCACTGCCACTCCTTCCAAATAACGCATCTGACCTGTGTGTACATTTTACAACAAACAGTACTTACCTAAATAATACAATTTAGTTTTAGCTATTAATGATATGTTATAAGTTACATCTACGTCCGTTTCACCACTGATCGTCATTGTCATTTGTACATTTGTAATCACTATAATCATTATTCATTATTGTGGCCGTTTCATAACGCATGATGATTTTTTATTGTTGTATGAGTGTATCTGTGAGTCGTTATTATAGTCGTTTCCGGTTTTGGGGACTTTTTTTTTATTTCAGGCGCGACCGTAGCGGATGCATTGTCCATCGGATACCGAACGATATTAATCGATGACTGTTGCCGCGGCGTCGATTTGAGCGACATTGAAAAAACCAAAAACAATGTTGTCAAAAATCACGGTGTCATTGTTCAGTCAAACGAGGTGAATTTTAATCATTTTTTAAATTGTATAAAAAACAAACAAGCAAGCAAATAATAATTTATGGAATGAAATGGGATCGACGATCAGCTATGCTGGACAAGTGACATTCTTGAGTCTATATAATATGCAGGTACACTGTACAGTGTACACAGGACCATGGTCGTATTTCCAAAGATCTATTGTTCTAATATAATATACTAATATAGTAATATAGTGACACACAGTAAATATTTTAACATGTCCACGATGTATATAATACTCTCCGATATTTTTGTTTGGAAAAATTGATATCTACTAGGTAGACGTCTCGGCGAGTTTTCGGTAGGCACATATTCATTGAATATTATATATGTGTATATCATAGTCTGAGATGGAAAGTACATGGAGGTATTTGTCACCCAAACATTATTGTTTTTATTTTATTAGAATGATTTGAAAATTTAATATGTACCTATTACCTATACCTTTTAAGTTAACATTTGACGATTGTAAATTCGGCCCGGCAATAACAAGAATTTGTAAAAAAGCAAGGTTAGATGACCCTAATGGACTACACTGTATAATAATTTTTCAACTAGTAAACATTAAATGTGTTGATAAAATTTATAATAAACATGTGGATACGTCATTCCTATCTTCACCAAACATACATTCAGTTCTATTAGGCCAACATAAGAAGGAAACGACAGTTGTCACTAGTCAGTTGCACAGATACTTTTGAGCGATAAAGAAATTAACACTTAAACACGAAGGAAACAGAAAATAGATGTAATGTCATGTTATGGTGAACAATGGTTTATTGGTATCAATTGTGTTGGCTTACAGTCTACACATTTGTACACAATGCCACATTCATAAATTAAGTAAAATATCAATGGTTCATTATAGGCCTACCATATTTAAATTATAGGTTATAGGCTATAGCTGGTATATCATACCGGGTACCTACAAATTATTATTAATTTTGAAAATCACCTGAAGCTGTATCCAAAGGACACAACAATAAGTGAAAGGACAATCCTCATTATCTTCAAAAATGATTTTAGTTTTATTTTTGTAAAATAAGAACCGTTATTAGAGGTAGGTTTATATATAAAATTGTTAGTTTATTTCAAAATTATACTAATGTTTTTAAACAGCTGACAGTATTGTATTCTTAACATTATTCTCATTAGGATAATATAATGTCCTAATATTAAGAACGTTTCACTATTTTTACTGTTGGGACTGTAGACTTTGTACACTATAATGCATTAAGACATACGAGCTGTGTAACTTGTATTACTATTTACTATACTTAATATTATTATTGTGGTACTGTTAGAATAAGTATTATTACAATCATCACTTTTTATTACTTGTTACCCAGCCGAGCTTACATTTCATTAGTAATTCGTAGGCCGGTAGGCGGAAAAAAATCCCAAGGGAAAAAAAATCAGAAAAACATGTAAATATAAATATGAAAACATGTACCTATACATAATAATATATTTTGTTATAAATTGTTTTATTGAATTGAGTCATTGGGTGGTTAATGATATATACATTGGGGGGGGGGATTTGGGTGTCTTATCCATTGATTGTTTTTTAAACCAGTAAACCATATTTATGTACTTATTTAGTTATATAAATATTATTATTTATAGGTACTATTGTCTATTACAGTATTGTACATTTGTACTATACTCTGTTCCATCTAAGAGTGAACCACTCAGCTGATCAAAACACGTTTTTTTCCTCGCATTCCCACCACGATCCGGACATCGGTGAAACAACCAATAATATTATTGGTGCACTGACCCTAACCAAAAACTTAGTTTTAGGCGCAATTGGTCCATGCCCGTTGCAAACAGTAGGGCCAAAACAGGCAATTTCCCGTGTCAAATTTTGATAGGGGTACTTCCGTACTGGTTACCTCCCCATCACCACTATATTGTTGATAGTTGAAAATGATGTCAGGGGCTGCAAAATAAATTAAACAACTAACTTTCCTAGTTACGTAATTGTAAAGGACAATGGCCATCATATTATAAATGCTATCGACATATCGCCGATCCTAATCAGTGATTAGTAATCACCCTAATTGGACTACCTAATTATAATAGTAGTCGACCCGGTCGACGAAAGTACAGTCGATTCTCGAATTTTAAGGAGGATAAAAAAGTTAAACTAATTATTTTTGGGTTATATAATATAAATTGGGTAGGTATTTCAATGTAAAAAAATTCACAAAGGACAGTGAAAAATTTTGAGTTACCTACATTCGACTGTATAATAAATAATAATACTTTTAGGCGCAACTAGGGGGGGGGTCGCTATTCATATAGCCCTTCCAGATGAAAAATAATGAATATCAGAATTTCATGTTTGGTACTTTTAGCCCCCCACCTCAAAAAAAAAAAAGTAAGCTCTAGTTGCGCCTATGATAATATACATTATTTGGAAAATAATACTGAATATTTTTTATTTTATTTTTTACCCTTCTAGATAAAAACAATGGTTGAAGGACGTGACAGGAGGCCTGAGCTGGGTTATAAATTGGCACTCGAAATCGAAAAGTCTATGGAGAAAGAAAATTATAAATAGGATCTATTTTATGAGTAGGTAATTATAAACTTAAAATTATAGTAAAACAGTACCGTTCTAATTGAAAACTATGCGATAAATCTCAATGGTGGTTCAGTCATCGTCACAGTATTCAATTTGTTCTCATTATTTTTAGATATCAATAGGTCTCTAGTGTATAACTACTTACTTGGAAACAAAGTGTTGTGTTTAGTCAATAAGCTACATCATACCATTTCCACAATTAGTACTTAATATATTATATAGAAAAATAATTTGTACGTGTGCACTGAGTATATTTAATAATTGTATAAAAACTAAATTTACATTTGAATAATAATTACAATAATAGCATATTATGTTAAGTATCAAACAAACATTCCAACCTTACATTTTATACAAGTACCACATTGTTAACTATTATTTTTATTGTAATTTTTTTTTATATTTAATTTATTTTAAAAGTTAATTCTGTTGAAGTTTTGTCTTAAGGCGATTGGTATGCTTCAATAAATTAGCAACATTGTGTCTTAAATTGTTGAGTTGCAACACCGACATTCTGATACTTTTACTAGTGTTGTTTTCAGTTAACAAATCAATAATTATGTGTTTTTCTGTTTTTGGTCCTTCACTGAAATTAATTGTAAAATTATTACACTTAGCATTAAAAAACATGTTAGTTATTACAGTTGAACCGTTAGCAATGCAGTAAATACAGCTTTCATTGTGTAAGATGATTAACTATCAAATTTTTAGCATCACATTTTTTGTTAAAATAAAATATCCATGTAAAAATCACTAAGTTAACTGTACAAAGAAATGTATAATAAATACAAAATATATTGATCATAAATTGAGATTCATTCATATATATTTATCTTGGTAAATTATTTTTAATAAGGGATAAATATTAAATGTTAGATACTTCTATAAAGAAAATTATAATTAACAAGTGTAAAAATTATAAAAAATAAGCTAATTAATAAAATAAAATAAACTTTACAAATGTTTTTTTTTTTTTTAATTATTTGATTTAGGGAAATTTATTTTTATTGTAAATGTCCAGAAATGCGCTGTGCCCGTAAATAGCTTGTAGCAAATACTGTAAGTATAATATAAACTTTTACTTGCAAAGATTATTTATAACATGTTTTAATATTATTTTGTTTTATTTAATGATTTAATATACCTACAAACGAACGTGGTTAACTCAAGGTTGAAAGGACTGGCCAGAAAGTTATTCATAAATTTGAGTTATCTAAGGATAACATAAGTAAAGGAAATTCTAGGGACCGTGGAAAAAGTTTGAGGTATCGACGATTACGAGTTAACTACGTTTGACTGTATTATATTTGATTACCTAACATGTGACATTGTTAGAAAAAAAATAATTTTATTCTATCCAGAACTGGAACCATTTTATAATTAAAGTTACAGTTCAATGAAATGAAGTCTATCACAGACTACAGTAAAACATATTTATCACTTCAAATCACTAATGGACCACACAGTGTATAAATAATAAGCTCATAAAATTTATGTAATATATTGAAGTCCATTGTAATGTTTATTTGTTGATATAAGTAAAAAAAAACCAATAGATTTGACAACCATTATGTAAATCATCAATGAAATGTATTACATTATGTTTAATTTTATTAAGTTATAGTTATACATTAATTGTTTCTTATATTTAAATAGTTATTAATTTGTCATTTATGTCTCACCATGATCAAGACTCTAAAGTAATATTTGTAATTATTACAGTTATTATTATTATTCAATTTCAGATTATAGATTATACAGTTCTTTATACATGAGTCATTAATCATTATGAAAGCATGCAGCCATAAAATGACTCAATTTTTCCCTTGAGTTCTAAATATATAGTATAAATAATGAGTTCAGAGTTGTGATCATAATATTCACAGTAGCCTTTCATATTGGCTGTCTGAGTATTACCATACTTTATACTAGGGTCTATGTCCTATGATATTATAGATTTATAGACAACTCGTGACATTGAATTAAATAGTTTACTTGGTGAAATATTATTCTAAAGGTTGTTGATTAAAAAAAATTTAACAAGTTCTGAATTTTGTGTTCAATAACTGTACAATCTAATCCTTTGATTAGTTAGGCGATAAGTATAGTTAAGTGTAGAAACTAATTAAAGCAAAAAATAACTTAAATTTACCAACTATGATTAGGTATACTAGGTATAGATTCAAGTCATCAAACTTACAAAATATTATGTATGCCAATGACAACCATAATCTTGATTCCGAAAATAATCAATAAATCAAATATTCAACCAACACAAATTATAGTCTTTATCTAATCTAGGACATTCAACGCGTTGTGCAGTGGCGTGTAATATAGGGCCCAAGTGTTGCTCGGGCAACACCTTAAATATGGGTAGGTGGGTGGTATACATGAAAAAATAGGTCATTTTATAGGTCGGTATGACAGTATTATGAGGGGTAGGTCTCCTAAAATTATTTGAGCAATACCAATTTTTTTTATGATACATGCCACAGGCGTTGTGTAGTATTTAATTTCAGAAATACATTTTGAAAGAAAATATGTTTCATTATAATCAAATTTAATTGTAACTAAGAATTTATAAATAATATTGTGGGGGGGGGGTTACATTTAATTAACATTTCAAAAGTTAATATCATTGGAATTCACATTATTTTCACAGGTAACAAATAGTACTGGTGGAATTTAAAATTGGCCTAATTATTAGGTACGTTATGTTGTTATTACCTTGATGAAATGTTGACATTTTCGATTTTGTAATCGGTCGGAGCTTTTGTATAAACTTCCATTTTAAAATCTACTCGAGATGGTTATTAATTTCTTAAGCTACATCAATTTCAGGACAAAATTAATAATAATTACGAAGGTTTAAAATGTAGAAAGAAAAAAATGTTAACTAAATAGTAAATAGATACATTAGAGTCTACAGTAAACCGAACACATACAATATTCTATAATCATAATTCATAATATTAATTATTTATTCATATTATTTAATACTTTTAATTTTTATCAATATAACGTTATCATTTTATCACAATATTTGAATGCTGTGATCACAGATTTCCATATAGTATTTCTATGGTAGTATAAATAAGTCTGTGGCTGTGATTTATAAATTGTTCTATGGATTTATGTGGCTTGTCAGCTGTAGTTGTCAGGGCCATTGATATTAAACATATGGACACCGCGGCATTCCTATCATCACGTAAACTATATAGGACTAAATTGTTCTATGGTAGGACTGAAGAGTGAAGGAGTAAAATAATAGCATAATAGTCATTAGTCAATACCACGATTTAAGATAATATACAGATTGCGTATCGAACTCCCATAATTTGACCGGTGAACTATTATAACTATCTGAAACACGAGCGTCTGGGGAGCAAAATTTCGCGACCAATCAGAATCGTTCACATTTGTTATCACTATTTGTGAAAATCACGTTTCTTATCATCCTTTATAAAAATTATAATGTGATAATATAATAAACATCACGATTAAAAAGAACTTTATAATCGTGATGAACATCAATCGACAATCATACAGGTTAATGATGGGTACCTACTTTCAATTCATTTTAGTGAACTAATTCATGTGATTCAGCTCATTAAAATGTCATTGAATCACTGAATCAATTCATTATATTTACATTTTATAATTGTGACTAATATTTTAAACCTAAGGGCTAATAATTATTTGTATATAATTTATATCTTTATATATATAATTCTACTGTACGTGTGTTTGTAAGTGAACTCCTAAACGGCTGGACCGATTTTGATGAAATTTTTTGTGTTTGCTTGAGTAGTTATGTGGGCCTTTGAATGGTTTGGATTCACAATCGGACCCGGTAGGCCCATTCCGGGGAGGTACTCAAACAGGAATGTTGAGATTTACGGTAGATATTTTTGTTTATAAATGGTTGCCATGGGTTTTAAAGCTATTATTAAAATAAAAATTGGTTGAAATCAGAAATAATTTATAAACAACGTTGTATTATAAAACAATGTATTCATTAATATAATATCATTATATCAATATATTATGTTGTAAGCAAAACATTTAATTTTTTGTTCGAATATATTATTAAAATATACTAACAAGAATACATAAGACTATATTGAGCCTGTTAAAAGCTGGTCGTTTTTTCGTGCATATAGACCAATAAGCTGAAAAAAAATATACTTCCAGAAGATCAATTTTAATTTCGAAAAAATATAAGAATTTCTCCGGTTTTTGTCGCTTGTTGTTGAAAAAAAAATTGGAAAGTTTCTCGCTTGGAATAGGTCCTCAGTACCTCATTCAAGGATTTTGAGATTTAAGATGAAAATCGAAAAATTATTTTGATTACACTTTACAGATTATTATGCTAATAAGTAGGTAGTAGAAATAAGTAATTTTTTTGTACCTATATAAATGTTAGTTGATTGTTATTTGTTTGTCTGTAATTTATATTCTCAAAAACTACTTAACCGATTTTGTGAACATTTTAAACTGTTCTATCAGGAAAGTTTAGAAAGTAATTAAACTTTGAACCATTTTTGATTTATACTAAATGCCTATATCCAACCTGTCACAAGTGAATTGTCCATCTCGGTGGACTTAGTTCACAAAGCTAGGTACACTGATGCCAATTTGTCCGTGAACCAAGGTATTCTAAATCCAAGATACGCCTATTGGCGATTGAAGGCTTATCAATTATCTGGCCGGCGGGGGGTGGATCTGTAACAGGGAACTAGTAAAATAACATATATATGATACACAGGGTCCCCGTTACATCTTATCTCTTTCAATCGACGATATGGCTCTATATTTTATATTTTTTTTTACTTTTTCACTGACATATACATATAGCTAAAAATGGATGTTGGTTTATCCGAAGTTCATAGACTCAAAAACTACTGGACTGTTTTCAATAAAAGTTAGGTATATCAATAGATTCCTTGAGACTTGGGAGGTGCTTATAGCTTATTTTTTCAATTCCTATAATATGTAGCTACAATTATAAAGGGCCCTGCACGTGAATTTTTTTGAGTTCACGTGGTGGTTAAATAATTTTGTCATGGGGATGGGGGAGATGTGGCTGATTTTTTAATGTGCACCTACTATATTTTAATCATTAAAAATATAATTTATATTATTATAATTATTGAAAAAGTATCATGGGGGAATTTAACTCTTCCCCCCACCATTTGACCACAACTATTACCACGCAATATCACGCCTCTCGCCAATATCTTATAGTTTATTTGTATTGTTATAAGGCATCCACTACGGCACTACGTATAATATAGAACAATTAATAACATAATAGAGTGTAGATACTTTTTTGTTTTACAGATAACCTATAGCAGTATGCCTGTATGTATATATGCGTCGAATCTCTAATTTACATTTACATGACTTAATGTCTGGCTCCGATGCTTCAGCCCAGTAACCACGAATCATTCGAATTATGTAGACAAAAGACATATAGTGTGCTTATATTTATATTACAATTTAAAATGATTTCAAAGTGATAATGAAGTAGGTAAATCATTTTTTTCCTTTGAAAAACGTACAGTACCTGCTACCTATATTACTTTCTATAATAAATCAAACAATCTATCTAACCTTATTTTACAATCTGCACACTGCAGCACTTCAGAGAACTGTCGTTTTTAAAAAAGAGCCAAAAACACAAACTTACAAGATATAAAAATATGAAGGAGCATTGTAGTTCATAAACGGAGGTGAACAGTCATAAGTCATAACAATCATAACAGTATACAATAATAGCCAATAGGTACATTATAGAACTACCGGTAGGCCTTATATCATAATGGGAAATTGTAGTAAAATATAAAAGCTGACAGACCGTTTCCCCTCAAAATCGTTTTTCATTGTGTATAGGTTCAACAATATATTATCATTGAATTCAAATGTATGTTTTAACACCTATATGTTCAATATACTCAATGACCAGAACACTTTCGCAACTTACTATACAGCAAACAAACCTTCTCTTTTTTTTCAACGTTTATGATTGCTCATTTCCTGGTTAAAATATCTGGAAGCTCGACATACAGTTTTTCCAAAAAGTCACATATCAACCTTATAGTAGTATCTCCTTGGAAAATTAATATATTTAAATAGGTACAGTTTTATTCACAGTAATAAATATGGAAATTCTAATTAAATGGCATAAGATTCAATTTTTTTTCAAACATTTTTTATGCATTAGAGTTTTTTAAATTTTCAAGATAACCATTTTTTTATCATATATATTTAAAAGAACTTAAAAAAAATTATAGAAATTTAGTGATAGTCGACCAAGATAAAGCAATTTAAGTTGTTGACTTAAAATAATACCTAGTTATGTTAGCGAAACACGAATCGCGTGATTTAATCAACCTCGATTAGAACGTGAGTTCCACGTATATTGACAGATTATGTCTTAATTTAAATGTCGGTGTATAGAACATATTATAAGGTTATAGTAAGGTGTACTAATGTATATTGCTTTTTTATGGATTTGTATAGTTTGTTATGCATGCACGTGTATGCCACGGATTACGGATACTTGCTATTTCAATGAAATTTAACAGCTATCTTGCCACTATCTATATCTCTTCAAAGTATACGACGTATACCTACTACATAATATTTATAATGACAGGGGAGTAGGGGACACTGCCACAGCATTGTCTATCAAGAATTCCATATTCCATGTGCAGTGAGATTAACTGTGCTTAACGGCTACTGTCTTCACTTCAAAAGTCATCGCATTCTGTTCACTTAAATTACTATACAGAAAATTGCCAAATTTACGTTTCATAACATCAATGATAGTTTGATTACAATGTTTTTTTTTAATTATGAAATTGCGATAAGAAGTTGGTCAAGCTGTAACCGATATAGTATAATTATTGTATTTATAAAATATAAGTAGGTATAACGTTTGTGTGAATGTGTGCATTTAATGAGAACTCCATTGTCTTTGCTACTTTGAATTAGTAAACCTTCATGGATTAGGAACACTGTAGATAGGTACCTATATACAGGAGTTAAAGTGGGAAAAAATTCTAGAGGGGACTAATGTCTCCACATAATTATAAGCATTCCTCCATATACAATTTAATGTATATTGTCTAATGTATAAAATCCTAATTGTTAAAAGCCGTCAGTGGTAGGGGGACTGAGTCCTCCTGCGTCCCCCCAGTTTAACCCCTGTCTATATACTTATTATTTTAGACTCACTTAAAAAATCTAGATACGTCATTTAGAATTAAAATATATATTGTTAGTTTTTGGACCAACCACTAGCCGTTGCAAACAAAATAGGTGACCATTTTGTTAATAGAAAGAAAGAAAAAATTTTCACGATTTAAATTTAACCATCGTAAATTATGTTGCTCATAACAATATGTTAAGGCGCATTTACACGGTGAAAGAATATGATGGCTACTGCCAAATGATTCACACCATATTGTCAGTTCCTTGACAATAGGTTTACTGTCACCGTGTAAATGAGCCTTTATTATTAGAAAAATGTGTTGATTTTAGATCCTGAGTGAAGCGATGAATGTACTGTTTTACAAAGACGTGTTTTTTTATTTATGTCTGTGTCACTATAAGTAGTCGAAATAGTGCTTCAAATTTCAACTTCAGTAAGACACAAGATGTTGGTTGTTTGATGGGAAATTGAATCTAGGTGTGAAGGTCAAAATTTAAAATTCAGTTATTTTCAAAAGCACCGGGAAAAACAAAAAAAAATTAAGGAAAACCGGGAATTGTTACTCAAAAT